GGGTAGCAGCTTCAGTAGGGAGGTCCAGCTCCTCTGGGGGAATCCAAAGGCGCTCCCAGTCCAGCTGAGAAACACAGTCCCTCCAGCGTGTCCTGGGTCTCCCCCTGGGCCTCCTCCCGGTGGGACGTGCCAGGACCAGGACTTTAGGTTTTTATTAGGGATTTCATAAAACAGAATGTACTGAAAGTAGGAAAAAAATCTTAGATATCTTTCAGAAAATATTCTCCAAATCAGATCGTGGATTCCGGGCATTAAAGGAAAACTCAAGCTTGAAAGTAAAATCTAGATGGGAGGCAGAATCTAGGACTAAAATAACAGTGGAGGAATAGATTAGGATACTGTAATGGTTACCATACTGAAAATACTTCAGCTGGAAAAACATTAATTGTTTTTTTCTGCAGCTGCAGTCTGCTAAATATTCAAATCCAACTCATGTGGAGGAACAGAATCGGAACAGAACCCCACCGCTACCTTTGCTCCACTCAGTCAAACCTCCTCCACATTCCCAGAACCAGGACAATGGTTCTGGGAATGTGTATGTTCAATATCTTTGAACATTTTTGAACATGCACTGCCTGGATGCTAAGCCAACAAGTGGTGCTGCTTCTTCCTGAACCTTCATTGTCTTGAAGCACTGCTGCTTTTCTGTCTGCTGTTCTCTCAGGTTCAGATAGAAGTGTGGGGTTTTGCTCCATGGCTCTAAGTCCAAACCGCCGTTACCTGGCAGCATCAGAGAAGGCTGACAAGGCCTCCATCATCGTGTTTGACCTGCAGCATCAACAAGGCAAAAAAAGAAAAGTTCTAACCTCAGGAGATTTGTTGGTTCAGGAGTTTTTAAGCATGGCTTTCTCACCTGATTCCAAGTACCTTATAGCTCAATCTGGAGCTCCAGAGTGGATGTTGATGATCTGGTTTGTGGAGGAAAACAAAGTCTTGGCAACAGTGAAAACGACCATATCTAATAACCCCGTTACACAGGTGAGTCTCACACTCTGTCAACCATTCAGCTAGAGAGTGGATCCTGTAAGCAGCTGCCTTTCTGTCCTACCAGATCAGCTTCAATCCTCACAACAACCTGCAGATCTGTGTCAGTGGCAACGGTGTGTTTAAGATGTTTCGCCACTCAGGAGGAGTCCTCAGACAGAGCAGCATCGCAAAGGTGGAATCGGTCAACTTACTGTGTCACACCTGGCTGTCAGAGGATAGAGTTGTTGCTGGAACAGACTCAGGGAGACTGCTGGTGTCTGAATCTGGGGAGCTGAGGAGAGAGATGAAGGTGTCCTCTAAAGCTGGTCTAGGCCAGAATGACAGGTATGATTTTGCTTTATGAAATGGAAATCCAACTGATGACTGGTGGACGAAGGTTAAGATGATACTGTGATACTGTTTCCTTTATGGATCTAAGAGAGAAAGTTCCTACAATACTGTAATATGGGCAGCTGTTGACTTATATGGCAACCTTGACTTAAGAAACCGTCTCTTTAACCCAGATGACTTGGTCAATTATAGACCTATATCCAATCTTCCTTTCTTATCTAAAATCCTTGAGAAAGTAGTTG